GTGCCTATTGTTTTCTGAGTATTATAACAGTGAAAATTAAAAGCACTTCTATGGGCCAAAATTGAATGTCTGTGATTAAAGGTGATGTTCTGTTGCTCATTTAGGTGTTTTCAGTTCCTGGACAAAGCAACGATATAACTATATTGACATATGTTGGTGCAGGTATGTCTTCTAACTCTCTTACAGCTGGGCTTCAAAGTAACAGTGTAAGAAATGGTTTTAGGCAAGAAAAAAAAAAAAGCTGGTTTGTTTGGGTTTTTTCTTTTTAAGTTTGCAGAGATTTTCTTAACATTCAGCCTTATGTTGTATAGTTCTTCCTATGTTTCTTAGTGCTTTCATAGCACCTTGCAGAACAGGCTGTTTGGGTCCCGGAAGTGTGTTGCATTTCTTGGCCACTGCTTTTGCCTCACGTGGCTGGGCTTTCTGCCTCCAGGCTTCTGGAAAAGCACGAAGCACTGTGACAGATAAAGAGTTTGGCTTTTTAACAGTCTGTTCATGTTCCATTTCCCCCATATACAGCAAATGATGACCTTGTTTAATGTAGAGGTGGATATAGAAAGCAGGAGGTGATGTTTGTTGTACGTGTTCTGTGTACCTCTCTAAAAGGGAGTTCCTGAGCTGAAGAGTTGCTGGTTAATTCTGTCAGAAAACAAATATCTATCAGGGATGGAGCAGTGATAATTTTTAATTAATACCATAATCAATATCATATAACACAGATGCCCCTCCTGCTGACAGATGTTTCAATCTCTGCTCTCTCAAAAACATTAAAAGAATAATGTGAAGAAAGTCTGTTTGTCTTCCCTGGAATATGTAGCAAGGTTGGAAGACATTTGTATGCTTACTAACAGAAAAAAAAAAACCCCAAACCAACCAAAACCAACAATTAAAAAAATCCCTACTGTTCCAGTAACAACTATTTTCTGTAAAGGGAAGTGAGCCATTTTAAAGGCAGTGTGAGGACATGGAGCTGTACTCAGAATTGCATCCTGACACAGTGCAACTCCAGCAAAGGAGCAGCTTTGTGCTCTCTTCCCAGTGCTCCGGGAGACATTTGTTAATACAGTCTGCAATACTATGGCTAAGGGAACTGTTCAGGCTCATCATGAAAAAATTTGGTCATTACCAAAGTTTGCAGTGGGACTTGTGTGGTGTCTCTTTATGCTAAAGCAGTTATCTAAGCCATAGTTTAAGAAGATACAGGGACAAAGCCTGTGTTTAAAAAATGGCTCTTGGTAGCTCTGAAGGAGCTGCTACTGGTGTACTCTGAGTAAACAGCATTTTTAAGAATCACTTTAATAATTTAGAAAAACCTCCTACAGTTATTCTGCTCCAGCTAGCAGCGGGTGGGGACTTGGTTCCCTGCAAAGATCTCCATGCCCAGATATTTCCAGAATCTTTTTTTTCTTTTGGTTAGGACCATACTAAAAAAATACCAGCCTCCTGCTGTGAACACAGCAGAGGACTCACTCATGGCAGCTGGATGGACAAGGGCTGCAGAGTCTGAGCTGCCCTGTGGAGTGCGTATGGAGAGCCAGACTCCCCTCCCTGGTTCATGGGGTGGGGGTGGGGGTAGGGGGCAGGAAGGGAGGGCTATCTGTGTGCACTGGGATTTGGCTCCCTGGGTAGTTTGGCTGGGTCTGCATAATGGGAGATCAGTCTCCATGCAGTGGCAGGGAGCTGAAGCTGATGGATGGAGCTGATGGTCATCCGGGTCATGCTTGGGCAAGGCAGGCTGCTGTGAGCCTGAATTCAGCATTCCCCATCTGGGAGAGGAGGAGTGCCTGTGTGTGTGAGGGAGGCAGTGCCTACCAGGAGATCAGCCACCTGGCATGATGCAGATGAATGACGTATTTCTGGGGGAAAAGAGAAACAAAAAGGGTGCAGAGTGTGTTGGAGAGGTGGAGTGTGATGTCAAACTGCCTGTAGCAAATCCCCAGTGGGGACAATTACCAGCACCACCTCAGGTTTACTCTCTGTGCTCATTTCCTAGAAAGATTTTTATTACTTTAGTTAGAACCTGCTTGCATTTCACTGGCAGGTGCCCTTGCTGCAGTGTTATCAATTAGTTCACACAGCTTGAGGGATGTCAGACTGCTACCACCTAAAAAGAGCTAAGTCTGTGTCATGGTCGTGGCTAGTTGTTGCAGAGACTGTGGGGGATTTAGTGGAAGTCTCTCCAAAGCAGGCAGTGGAGCTGGAGGGCTGGCATCACCCCATGATCCAAGGTATCAGTGGCCCGGGGCTACAAGAAATGCCGTCCAACACATAAAAGTGTTTAAAAGCTGAAGGAGCCTCAAAAGGGAGATTAAAGACCACAGAAATGATTACCAAGTCCCTTTGAAGTACTCCATAATGTGTATAGACTGTATTGCTTAATCCTAAAGGCTGAAAGAAGATATAACAATTCCTGCTTGAATCTTGAGGATGCCTGTGAGGGAAGGGCAGTGCTGGGCTGGCACAGCCCCACAGCCCCCGCATGGCTCAGCCAAACCGGCCCCGCTGCTGTGAGGAGGGGCTTTTGGTCCTGTTGGTGTGGTCAGCTGGAACATTTCAGGAGGTGCCTTCTGGTGTGTGTTTGGTTTATTTATATCCTGGAATATACGTCTGTGCAAACATGTAAATCAATGCCAGTTTTAATGTTGGTGTTCAAAACCTAAATGAGCAGACATCTGACATTATTTTGCCACCAGAATTTAAACTGAGGTGCTTCAAATGCCAGACCAAACCCATTCATCAGACAGTCACCTAACAGGAGAATATTTTGACACTGGAGGGTCAGGCTTTCCTTCCAGAGAAAATGGTGATGGTGTAGTTGATATAATTAAAGGAAGGGATGTCACCCAGAGGGATCTTCAAAGACTGAAGGAATGGGGCCATGTGGACCTCATAAAGTTCAACCAGGCCAAGTACAAGTTTCTGCACTTGGGTCAGGGCAATCCCCAGTATCAATACAGGCTGGAGGATGAAGGCATTGAGAGCAGCGCTGTGGAAAAGGACTTGAATGAAAAGCTGGACATGAGTCAGCAGTGTGCACTCACAGCCCAGAGAGCCAGCTGTATCCTGGGCTGCATCAAAAGAAGAGTGACCAGCTATTTGAGGCAAATCCCACCTAGAGTACTGTGTCCAGCTCTGGAGTCCCCAACATAAGAAGGACATGGTGCTGTTGGAGCAAGTCCAGAGGAGGGCCACAAGATGATCAGAGGGCTGGAGCAACCCTCCTATGAAGACATGCTGAGGGAGCTGGGGTTGGGCAGCCTGTAGAAGAAAAAGCTCAAGAGATACCCTGTTGAGGCCTTTCAATATATGAAGGGAGCTTAAAAGAAAGATGGAGATATATTTTTCACAAAGGCCTATAGAGACAGGATGAGGGGCAACGGTTTTGAACTGAAAGAAGGAAGATTTTTTACAATGAGGGTGGTAAGATTCTGACACTGGTTCCCCAGAGAGGTTGTGGATGCCCTGTCCCTGGAAGTATTCAAGGCCAGGCTGGATGAGTTTCTGAGCATTTTGATTTAGTGAAAAATGCTTCTGTCCATGGCAGGGGGCTGGACTAGATGATCTTTAAAGATACCTTGCAATGTAAACTGTTCTGTGATTCTGTGGTTTTGCGAGAAAATTCAGTCCCAGCCCTTTGCTAAGTGCTGCTAACTAATACAGGTGCTGTCCTCCAAGCACTTAAAACCCACTCTGTCATGTGTGGCTTTCTCTGGATGCAAATACATTTGCAAGGACTGCTTCTGCAGGAAGACTGGTGAGATGCGCGGGCTGCAGGGAGCGAGCAGCAGAGCTTTTTCTTCTTCTCAGTGTCTCACAATCCAGCACGCACGGGCTGGGAGCTCTGGGAGCATCATGAGCCTACAGTCTCAGGGAAGTGCATTTTAAACCTATTTCTTTCCTTTTTACCCTTTGCTGAACATTATTCAACACGTACTCCTTTTGCCATGCTGTTAACCTAGCAATTGTCTTCCTCCCTCATTGAGCTCAGTGGGAGCTGATGCAGAAGTTCATTAGCCTGAAAATTAGTCCTGACCAGACAGAGAGTTGGCAGAATGCTGATAAAACCCATGTCTCACGTGTGTGGTGTCTGTTGTGAGTCTGTCTCAGTATTCCCACCGTGCAGCTCCCCACCTCACTAGAGCTGTCTCCTACTTAGTTGGATGTGGGGTCTGTTGGAAGCCCAGGCAGACTGAGGAGCTGCTCCTAAGCCAGCAGGAGGGAAGTCCTACGCACACCCACTCTTAATGGGTGTAGTTGTGGGGGTGCCCCAGGTGACCTTGAAAATGGATGTTGCCAAGTTCACTTCTGAAAACAACAACCAATTAATCACTCTGTATTACTTATTTTGAAATGAGGTTTGTATACGCTGCTGTTTCTCCTGCTGGTTGTTCTGTGATGAAAGCTTGCATGGTAGCACCTAACAGAGAACTGCAGTTTTGTTGAGGGTGGAAAGAATACAGATCTCCAGAAGCCTCGGTATCTGATGACATGTATGTAGCATTTGGGGACTGTTCTGGAAATATCGGAACCAGACATTTTAATTAAAAAGATAATTACACTCATGTCTTTTTCTCTTATATTGCATGGATTCAAGCAAACAGGTGCTTTCAGTGTTGAATGTGAGAGCTAGAATTTATTAAAAGCTTCACTTTCAAATAATAAACCTCCAATAGAGGATGAATTCCACAGCAAATTATTCTCCTTTGAGCTAAAGGCTACATCAGGCCCTTTTCACTCAGTCAACACACTTCTTATTTTCAATCGGGTTTAAGATGGATAGCATCTTGTATAAGCCAAAGCAATTCCCTGGGAATGCCTGCCTCCAGTATTGAACCCTCCAAAGCATTCACCAAACCTACACTAGGACGCTCACAGACTTCTTGCAAAAGGAAAACAGCAATTTGGTATTTCTTACGAGTCTCAGAACACTGTCGCTTGGATCCGAGTCTTGTTCTGGACTGACTTGAGAAATAACACCATTGTCATCACCCAAGAAAATATGTTGCAAAATCCCCAGAGTATTTTTTATTTAAAATGTTACTATCATAAAATTCCAGACTATGAAATGAAGACCTCAGATTCACATTCAAACCTTACCCACCCACCCTTTTAAAAATATATAGATACGTAGTCACAAAACATAAAACATGCTGCAATGATACAAATATATTTTTTGATACGGAAATTACAGTACATTATAAACCATGAAAACAAATTGAGGCACTAGACTGTACATCAGCTCTGTTCTGCACTGGCTGTGAAGCTGATAGACTCGCTTTCAACAAACAAAAGAATATTCTCTTTGTTTAGTGAATATAACTTTATGGGTCATATCAAATAATGTGCTTTGTTGTGAAATGTCAACAGGGTTGCTGGTCCTTTCTGAACCACAATACACCTACACAACATGTATCACTGCCACAATATGAAAAATAAACATTTTATTGAACGTACAACTCAAAAAAACCCAAACCAACCCAAACCCCCTTGGTTATTATTAAATAAATAAATATTCCATACAGTGGTTAGTTTATCTTACACTACATTGGCCATTGGAACAAATGAAGTTCAAGAAATAATGCACACGGATGTCTCATTTACGCCTCCGCTCGTAATTCTGTGCTACGCTCCTTTCAGAGGATCCTGCAAAAAGAAAGCAGAATGAAGCATGTGGTGCAGCCTTGTGCAAACCCCAGCAAGCAGAAGGAAATGTCAGAGACTTGCAGCGTGCTGGGTCACTGCCAGACCCTGTCAGAACATTTGGACCTAAGATGAGGGATCCTGACAGAGCCTTAAGCTGTTTGGATTTGGTTTTGGCCCTCAGACTACACTATCCTGCAGGAGGCTGAAGGTCTGCTCAGTGCTTTCTACCTCTCATCTATCAACAGCTTGAAGCGCCATTAACACAATGCCTTTTTATGTTCCAGTAATCCATCTAACTGATGGGATCTGAGCACTCGTATTGATTTGTGGGTAGAGGCTTTCTGCACTGAGATCCACTTTCTCTGCTGACTCTGCAGGTTTAAGCCCTCCCTGTCCCCAGGCCCTGCACACAGTGATACCTTTTACTAAATACCTGCAGCATGAGCTAAGCAAAGATTAAGACTACACTGTCTGCTAAATAAAACCAAATATTCAGCATTTAGTAGTAGTAGATCTCTTCTTGCTCTTTTAAAATAAGAGGGAGAAACAGAGAGCCCTTTTTGAGCAGAGCCTGACCATGAGGTGACTACAGTCATCTTTGCTTCCACCCCAAAGGGAGGACTGCTGTCACAAAGCACATGCATACCCGAGTGTCCCATGCCATGCACAGCTAGTCTGGGGGGACTCAGCACTGCATCCTGCAGGGATCTTGCATTTTGGATCAGTGATAGTTTTTAATTCATCAAGACTTCAGTCTTCACCAGGCTAAATGCAAAGCAAGTCGAGGTTGCTTTCTCAACATGAAGTATTACAGTATTTTTACTGGATGCAAGACTTTTGTAGCTTCTGCCTGGAGCATTCATCCCTCAGACCACACAGTTTGGAACAGAGTCAGCATCAGACCCCACTGCACCAAACCAGGGACTGAGACACCAGCATCCTGGTGCTCAGCTTTGTCACAGGAGGCTTTAAACCAGCCCTGTGCTCCCAAAACATGGCACCAAGAAAATGTCCTGGCCAGTTAAATACCTTTCAGCAGGGACAAGGACAATCCAAACACAAACTCCTAAATCTGCTTTGATTACACAGTCCTTAGGATCTATAGTCTCCTCCAGAGGAGCAGAAGCAACTTCTGACCGTTTTTCAATGTGAGAAATGGGAAGAAAAGCAGTGAAATCTAGTTTTATCTGTCAGGCTGGTATTACATAGCCCAACAGGGTAAAACTTCATGATTTTCCTTTGTAACAAATACCACATAACACTATCTTGACTATATCAGCAATTTTTAAATTAGGGTAATAAAATATTTGCCTTTTAAAAACATTTACTGTATTTTTATGTGCTCATAATAATGTAAATGCAATCTCAATGGAAACCAAACCCACTTTATTACTTCCAGGCTATTCACTTTCTTTGTAGCAGATCTATTTACAAGTATAATGCATTTAATAGCTATTGCAACCACATATAAAATTATACAAAATTATTCATGATACATAGCAATTTGCAAAATGATGCAGGGAGCAATATTAGTAGTCTGAACAGGGTTTAATTGAAAATAAAAGTTACTGACAACCATAATTGCAGAATATAGATCACAGAGTGTATCCACATAATGCAAAGGTGTCAGCTAGTAATTTTATCCTCCATTGAACAAAACAGTGAGAACTATTTCAGAGACATGAAATACGTATTGTATTTTTTATTTTTTTAATTCATATGCTGGGGAATTAACTGATACTTTGTAGTTCACAGTGAGGGGTTTCCTCAGTACAGCCCTATAGCACAGGAAACCTAGAGCTACTGGCAGTCTGCAGTTAACTACAGGGGTTGTGCACATGAGGGAGAAAGATTCTGCCCTATATGGATGCTATGGGAAAGTAACACAAATTCACAGTATTAATCCAAAGACTAGAAGTATTGGTGCTGGTTTGGTTTTGGTGATTTTTTATTTGTTTATATTTTTAGATAAAATGAAAAGCTGGAAGAGGCTGGGACTGTTTAGCAACTTGACTTGCAGAATGAGGTGGTGTTAATGGCAAATCTCTGCTCTTCCACCTTCTGCTACAAGTTTGAGGAGTAATGATCCCCAGAGGCAATGAGGATATCCTTTTACCTAAGAACATTTGGATGACAAGTTTAATTGAGCTTTACATTTTCAGCCTCTGAATTTTTCTTGATGCGCCAGGAAAATTTAGTTTTTTCTTGTATTAGGACTTTGGGGACTGGCAGAATATGCTGCTGGTGAGGACAGGGCAGGAAGGAAAAGTGCCCTGGGGACTTCTACCTAGCCTTGCCTGCAGGTCAGCAAGCACTTCACTCAAGTGGGTCCTGAATATGTTGGCTAACAAAGAAAATCCCGACCCTTTGTCAGAGAATTCCGGGTCTACACTACATAAAACTGCTTCTTCCATCCGCTGAGAGAGAACAAAGAAGCAACAGAATGAACAGACTGTATATTACCAAGTACCAGATGTCATCGCATACATACCAGAATTTAAAGATCTTTTGCCCATAAGTCCAACAAAGGAGTCTGTTTTATGCCCTGAAAAAATATATTTGGGGGTGTTTTAATACATTTTAAATAGGCAGGTGTGGAGAACGGCTTGTCTTCTCCCCCCACACATAAGACAACTGACACAGGCTTTTAAGATAAAATGTTCTTGTAAGGAAGGAAGACACAGGCTCCAAAACTCTTCATTTCGCAAACTAGTTGTTCACACCACTCTCAGGCAATGGAGAATGAACATCAGACTAAATGGGTTAGACCCAAGACACAGGTCAGTTAGTGGGCATCTTCTCATTAATTCAGATAGACTTTTTGTTTTGTGGTCTTTTTAAGTATAATGGAAAACCAACAGCCAGTAACTAATTCTTATTCCTCTCCCAGTACAATTCCTATTTATTTGAGCGAATGCACAAGAAGGCAGAATTTTGTCCTGCATCTCTGTGATGCATCTCTTCTTCCCGTTAGTGTTTTTTCTCTAACATGGAGGAAAATTCTTCCTCACAGGTCAGGCAGAGCCCTTACTGGAGGGGAAGCCAATGGGACTCTATGTCTGGACACGTTTGAGCTAGACAGTCGGGCTCTATTTTTGGAATATGTATGAGTTCAGATATTACCTTCCTAGCCCATTAGTTCTCCTCAAGGCACTGAATGTGTAGAGGATAAATTACTCTAAGTTTTGGGCTACAGCATGTATCAGGTATAGTGGTGGCTATAGTTTCAGATAAGGAATGAAAAGCTATTCTTCTTTCTCCAAGATGACTTTTGAAGCAAACCTGGAAATTTCTCTTTGGAAAGAATTTTGCTTGACTAATTCAGTTACAAAGCAACATGAATGATGTGCAGATCTCGCAAGGTATTACTTCAGGCTGAAGCAATTTCATAAAGCTGTAACTTTTTACTTTAGTCAGCAAATTCTTTGGTACAAGCTTTGTACTGGATTCTTTAATTGGTCTTCCAATACATCTCCCTAGTGACAAGATCTTGTGGCTCACACAACACCGGGACAGTTACTGACCTCTGTGAAAAGGAAGAGGTCTCACAGTGCAGAAGGTAATTTTTACTTATCAAACATCTTCCAGCTCCTGTCTAAGCATCTTCAGATAAAAATCAGAGAATAAAACTATCATTGTGCAAAACAATGTACCACACTGCTGGTACCATCTCCCACTTAGTGTTACACAGCAGCAAAGCGAGGTGCACTTATTAACGCCGCAAGCTAAGCTCATTTATTTGCCAGCACAGCATCAACCAGCCCCTGCTGTGAGCAGGGGTCTGATTCCCACTCAGGCAATGCTGAGAGCACAGATATGACATCTCACATGTGTTGACATGGGTTCTCTTGTGGAATCATTCTCAGTGGTTTGGGAATTCACTATTCTTATTTCCAGCTTTTGCCATCTCAATAGCTCCTCGCCGGGTCTGGCAGGAAGCCTGCCTTGCCTATGAGAAAGGCTTACAGAATTCCCCCCATGGGAAATAAGAGAGAGCTGCAACATTCACATATTAATGTGGATGGAAATCCCAAAGCTCGTGGCAGCTCAGATGAGGTACAGGCTCACGGCTGCACTCGGGGTTGGGGGGAGGGTTCAATCCTTTCACTGAACTCCAACAACAGTTCTTAGCTGAACCTACTCACTTTCTAACTAGTCCCCTCGAATACAGTATTCCACATTGTAATCTTTTAATAATTACTTAAAATACTTGAATTTTTAAAACTTACTTTTGTGAGAGATCTGGCCATATCCTGAGTGGAAGAGGAAATAAAAGAGAAAAAAAAGGAAGAGTTGTTGAAAAAGGATTGACAGATATTATACTACTGCGACACCTTGAAGAATCCAATACAGCAACTACCCTATGCATATTCCCCTCATGGGAAGTTAAGGTGGTCATTTACAACTGCATTTCACTTTAAAGAGACTACAAAAACTTCGTTTAGCTAAAGCCACACAATCTAGATCTGTTTAGCTCCAGTTTCCTAGATCAATTCTTGGACCAGTAAACATGCAGCAAACACGGCAATAATTGCATACACAGCCGATTTCCACACCCGGCCGATGAACTGACACACACAGCCGACCCGTGAACGATTGTGATTCTTCTTAATGGTCTTCACGTGCTCTAACTGGTGTGCACTTATAGCACTTCTCACGTGAAGCCCACTCTTTTCCAAAAGGTGAGTGTCTCTGGTATTAAAGTTGTAAAAAAAAGAAAAACCCAAACAAGCCAGACTGCAACTTTTGAGAAAGGTTTGACGCATTCAAACCGCGGGACGACTGCGGGCAAAGTGTGGAGCGGCAGCAGGAGGGGAGGCATGCGGAGAGGCGTGCGATGGACGGGGCCCCCCGCCCTGCTCACCGGCATCCCGCTTGCCCATGAGGCCGAAGAACTGCTGGGGCCGGGGTCTCCGGGCCATCCTCTGCAGGAAGTGCTCCAGGGGCAGCGGCAGCTCCTCCTACGGGGCGACAGAGCCGGCGCTCAGCGCGGACCCCCCTCGGGCGCGGAGCCCCCGAGGGGCAGCGCCGGGCACTCTCCGCCCCCTTCCCCCCTCGCTCCCCAGGCTCACCTTCACCTGGTCACCGTCGGACCAGTCGGACCAGTAGCTGAGGTCGTCGGTGGCACCCAGCTCCTCGGCCAGCGCCTGCGCCGAGGCCAGGAGAAGCACGGCGAAAGCCAGCGGGAGTCTCATCGCCGCCTCGACGTCCTGCGGGGGGCAGAGGATGAAGCACCGGGAGCCCCGGCGGGGGGAGCGGCCGTGGGCACCGCAACCGGAGTGTGCGGGCACACAGCCCTGCGCAACACCCCCCCCCCCCCCCCCCCCCGTGCCAACCCCGCACCCCCCATTTTTTTTGGGGGACGGGCCGGGGGCACCGCAACCGGAGTGTGCGGGCACACAGCCCTGCGCAACCCCCCCCCCCCCGCACCCCTCGGTGCACACCTGGAAGCACATCCCCTTGTACGTACAGACACAGACGCACCTAGTTACACACCCACAACCCCCTCACCGACTGCTATTTACGCCTCTGGATATACACATGCCCCGCACATATAGATTCGTATGCGGCTGGATGCAGACACCAGTGCACAGGCAGACACACCTATCCAGAGTCAGCCCTCCACACCCACACGTAAAGAGTTACACACAAACGCACCATCACACGCAGATGTGTACCTTTCCACACATGCACACCCAAGCAGATACACCCCCCTCACACAAAGATCTGCGTACATAAACATCTAGTTATAAACTTAGACGAGCAGCTACGCACCTTAGACACACACACCTAGGCAGAGATACAGTCGTCCACAGGCACAGCGACAAACGTGCCTAGAGTTAGACACACATCCCTTGGCACATCCAGACACACACATCGGGAGAGGCACAGAAACATCCTCGTCCGTACGGAGACACAGGTGCGGGGACACAAGCACGCACAGGCACCCCCGTAGAGCCACACACATACAGACACATCGTTCCCGCGGACACACGGAGGCGAACACATAGAAGTACACACGCACATACGCTCACAAACATCTAGGCAAGCGCATCCTCACGCATCTAAGTACAGACGGACGGACACGCTCCTGGATGCTCACGCACCGTGTGCAGCGGGAGGGCGGGCGCTGCGCTCCGTGCGCATCAGCCGCCGCTCCCGCCTTATATACCTGCAGACGGGGAGGGACGAGGCCGCCTTATTTGCCTAAAAGCAATTACTTCCCCGCTGCGCCCCGGGCGCCCGGGGCCGTCCTGTCCCGGCTGGGGCCGAGGCAGCGGCGGGGGCGGGATGGGCTGAGGATGTGAAGGTGGAGATGCCGCTTTTCGCTTCTCTCCCCCGCCCCGCCCCGGAGGCCGAGCTGCTTTCCGGAGCGAGCGGCCCCGCCGGGGAGGGCAGCGGGGGCACCTCCTGCCCCCCGGGGCTGCCTGGGCAGCTCCTGCCCTGCCCCGCTCTGCCCTCCGCTGGGGCAGCCCCGGCTCTCCGGGGGAGCGCGGAGGGGCCAGAAGCGGGGGGATGCAGGAAGCCGAGGAAGGCCTCGCCCGGTGGGTGCGGGGTTTGGGGGGCCAGGCACCCCCGTGCTATGTGTGTCCCTGCGGGGGGGCTGCCGGCGCAGGACAGCACGTCTGGGCTGGCTGCTCTGGTGGGGCCAATGCCTTCACTGGAAATGATGAGCCTCTCCAGCAGCATATCCCTGCTTTCATCCTTCCCCTACAGCTTTGTGTTGCTGCTGGCATTCGCCTCAGGTAACTGCTTAGGTTATCTGCCCTTTCACCGTTGTTCCATTCTGATTTCTCCAACAGCAGTTGTGCATGAAGCTTCTCAGCTAACCTCGGTGGTCCATCAGTACCTGTGTTGATGTGGTGCGTGGTACCACTGCCTAAATCAGGCCCTCTGTGCAGTTTAGCAGGAGCTAATGGAGTTTCTTTGGAGAGAGGCAGGAGTGCTTGGGAGTTGGAATCAGCTCCCTGGTACCACCCCTCTGCTTGCTCCAGGGTACTACCTCTAAGGTGACCTTGCTGACAGTGGTAAACCTCCTCTCCAAGGACCATTGATTGGCATATAACTGCTGGTCCAAGGGTGGCCTGGCATCTTGTTTTCTAAAATAAGGCATGATTAATAACAGGCCTCTCAGTTAACCAGAACTGCTCTTCAGGACCCAAAGTATTCCACAAAGCACAACTAGACATAATCTTCTTCCCAGCTCCTGAAGATGTCTATGCTTTGGCTATAAGATTTTGTACATAAATAAGAAAGATTGTGACCCAGTCATCTGAGGGTCTCTGAAGTCAACACAGGCTGCTTGAGAGTGTGGTTCTCTGAGAAAAAAAGGGTGGTTTGAAGGACCGTGGTGAGGGACTTCATGCAGCCCAAGCATCTGCTGTAGGCACCTCTGTTGAGACCTCGAGCATGGGCAGTGTGAATGCTCCTCATTCTGCCTATCAACAAGCTGGCAGAAATGACATTGTTTAGCAACTCTAGGAACCCAATCCATCAGATTTTCATGCTACAGCTTTGCAGCATTCCCTTTGATGTGTGAGCTTTGAGGACCCTTGAAGGAAAATTAGTTTCTTGTGTTTTTTCATTATACTTTTCCTATTTACTGTAATGACAACAGAGCAAAAGGTCAGACGTACCAAACCAGGCTTGCATGTTGCTGAAGTTCATGTTTTACAAAAATCCTGAGAACTCCCAGCTTCCTGTGAAGTCAGTTTCTATCATCCAAGAGTCCACATAAATTTGAACTGAAAAGTCCTATTTGTGCTGTAATTCAGCATTTCATGAAAATGGATGTAATAATATCTTGACCTATGAAATTACAAGGATTTTCTTTTTTGAGAGAGCAAGAAATGGGAAGTTAAAAAGTGGTCCTTTCTATTCTTCAGAAATTTTAATGAATTCAAGGACTTTACTTCAGACTTACCTAATAGTTTGGGTGGGAGTGAAAAAATGACTTAATAGGTCAAGCTCACTTTTCTCTTTCTCATTTTCTAAAATAAAATGACTGCTTAATCTTTTTTGACCTGCAATACCCAGACATGATATTATGAACATTTAAGGAAGTGACGAGATTCCATGGATAATAAGCAAAACTGATTCCTAGGAAGACTTTCTTAGCTCAGTTTTTCATGTGGAGAGGAGGTAGAAGGCTCAAATAAGGGAGCAATAGCAACATCTTGACCTGGGAGCAGCTGATTCTCCTGCCTTTATGCTGTAGAGTCCCTGCCCTAGGGATGCATTAGAATGTGGTAAAATGTTCTTTGTGCACAAAAAACTCCCCAAACCTCAGCTTTGGCAAAAACTTCCTCTACCTCAGACATACTCATGGATTTACATCTACAAACTACCTTGTGAATAAGTATGTGAGAGAGTGTGCAGGTACAGGGTGTCAGTGTTGAATATTCCTGCTCTGTTCCTGTTCAGGGCACAGGTTCCACCCTCCTCTTACAGTTAGACCATGTGATTTCTATCAATTAGCGTAAAGACATTTGGTCATCAGATGATCAGTAGACCCAAGGTAACCCAACTATTTTTCCTGTGAAAGTGGCAGAGAAAAAGCATCTTATCCAGACATTTCCCTAATTAAGCTGAGGAACTGGATTGAAAGTGCTTGTTGTGGTTAGAATCTCAGCACTAATGGAAAACTATTTGGGAAGCAATTGCCTATGAAACATACCTCAGAGAATTTATTTTTCAGTGGGTTTAATAGGATTCATCCTGTGTGATGATCCTTGTGCTGGTTTGGTTCTGGCATGGTTTCAGTAGCTGGGGTGGGGCCCCAGGAGTGGTTCCTGTAAGAAGCTACTAAAAGGTCCCCCAGCTCAGGTAGGGAATACCAGGTGCTTCAAACAGATGTGCCTCAGCGATTAACATATGAAAGAACTGATACAAGACTTGAGCAGATAGCAGGCATGGGAGAAAGAGCTGAGCTGGAGAGGTAAAAGCAGTGCCAGGGTGAAGATCCCAAGGCTGGTGAGGAAGGAGGGGGAAGAAGTGCCTGAGTAAAAGTTCCCCTGCAGCCCACAGCAAGATGGCAGCTGTCCCCCTGCATTCATGGAAGAACATGGTGGAACATTCCCTGAAGGCACCAGGAAGGGCAAACATAGACCTGCAGCCCATGGACTTGGAACTACCCCTGTGGAGGACCCAGTGCCAGGGGACGTGACTGTTCCTCAAGCAGCCTGTGACTCTTTGAGAAGCCCACACTGGAGCATTTTGCTCCTCACCTTGTGGGAAGGACTCATGAGGAGAGGTTCATGGAGGACTCTCTTCTATGGCAGGAAGCAGGGGAGGACTGTAAGGAATCCTTTTTCCTAAGGAGGATGGTGCGGCAAGATCCACCAGCCTGTGAACTGACTCTAAGCCCCATCCCCTGTCCCCCTGTGCTGCTGGGGGAAGGAGGGAGAGAAACTGGGAACAAAGTAATTTGGGCCTGGGAAGAAGGAAGGAGTGGGTGTAACGTATGTAAGGACTGCTCTATGTGTTGTCTGTGTCCTGTAGGCAGAATTAGTGTTAAATGGAATTATTAATTTTCTCCAAGTTGAGTCTGTTTTGCAGAGACTGTAATGGGTGAAGAACCCTCCTTGTCCTTGTCTTGACCCATGAGCTTCTAGTTGGCCTCTGTCCTCCCCATCCCAGGAGGTGTGTGTGTGTAGACGGGGAGTTGAGTGAGTGGCCACGTGGCTGGATCTTTGTTGTCTTGTTAGGCCCAAACCACAACAACCCTTATGTAATGTTTATTTGAATTTTGTGATTATGTGTTTGTTTCCAGTAAAACATCCAATAGTTTAATGATGTGACGCTTTGGCTGCCGTGCAATTATCAAGTAATTCTTATGCCATCAAATAACATTTAATGTGCTATGGAAAAGTAGCAAATTATGTGTGACCATGTAAGATTTTTTGCAAATCTGAATTGTTCAACTACACATAATTTCGGAATACTTGACATTAAATAAATGCATCTGGAATTGTTCTTCAATGGCCTTATGATATATTTATATGCTATATTCTTAAACCTAGAGCCTAATTCTCATATGTATTTAGATTCCTTTTTATCCCTTTACCAGGGATCTACAAATAACAGCTCCAGAACACATATTTTAAATAACTTTAAAAACATAGGTATGAGATACAGTGTACTTTAGTGTAGTGAACCTGTCTGTAGATACACCAGACCTCAGGTCTTACTTCTATCATGACAAGAACACTAGAAATGTTCTTACCCACAGATAAAATTTTATAAACATCAGAAATAGAGACTATGAATTATGACCTCTTCAATTTTTCATAGGTATATGTCTCCAGGGGAAACTGAAGGATTTCAATCATGGATGAGAAGTCTTTGTAACACAGGGATTGTTTTTGACACTGTAGGATTATTTATTGATAAAGAATCCAAGTGACATTGGAAAAATTGCAGAACTTACAACAGCATCCTGATGTTCTAATTAAGTATGGCCAAGTTAGTGAATTACTCTTTCATCTGTATTTTAAGTTTTACATTATAAGTTTGTCAACTAATTTTTGCTTTAATGAAGTTTTAAATTTTCAGAACATATGCTTGTACATATTAATGCATGTGAAGCATGTGTGATAATTATGCATATCTCTCCTTCTTTGTCCTCCCCTCCATCCATAAAGACTGAGAGATTACTCTTCTACTTGTGGAACCAGATACTATAGGTTCAATTATTATTCTGCTTACAGGGAGGCAAGAAGGGGAGCAGTGAGATCTGCATGTCACAGGGATGCCCTTTTCTGGCAGCTGCAGGCAGAAGCAAGGCTGATCTAGCACTTATTCAGTCATCTGGTAAGGGCTAGAAACACAATGTTGGCCTTTGGTTCTCATTTTGAAAATAAAAGTTAATGGGTTTCCTGACTCTTCTGACCCCTGGTCATCCCTCACACTTCCATCTCTGTTTTCCATGCCACCAAGCCACTAGTATCTCTTGCATCTTGCCTGAAGTGAGTTTCTTTTACCCTGATTTGAGGCCCATTTTTGTCCAAACCAAGTTGGGCATACAGGTGGGATGTCAGACCAAAGGAAATTAAAAGAAATGTTGAAGTACTGAAGTACTGAATGTAAACATTTAATGTGAATACTGCAATCACAGCTATTCTCCCAACCTAGTAGCTCTACAGGC